TCTCTTTATTGCTGAGTGATATTCCACAGTATACACGTTCCACTACCCATCTAACCTGTCACACACTGAAAAACATTTCAGTTTTTCTCTATTAAGAATAAAGCTGCTGTGAACATTCACACAGGTTTTGGTGCAGACATTGGATTTCATTTCTTTGTGATCAGTGCCCAGGAGTCCCACTGCTGACTCATGTGGCTAATCCAGTTTTACTGGAACCTTCAAACGCCCATACCATTTGCACTCTCTCCAGCAATGTACAAGTGACCCAGTTCTATTCATCATTCCCAGAATTTGGTGGCATGATATGTCTCTGTGGATTTGCCAGTTCTGAAAATTCCATAAAAATGCAACCTTATAATCTGTGACGTTTTGCATTAGGCTACTTTTATTGAGCAGAATGTGTTCAAGGTGTACTTGCATTGTCATGTGAATTAGTACCTTGTCTCTATTTATGGCTGAATAATGTGCCATCATCTAGCTCTAATACCCTGTATTTATCCATTCATCAAGTGGTTTATGTGTGATCTGTTTCTACTTTTGCTGATTACCAGTAATGCCGCTACCAGCATTTGTGTGTAGGTTTTTCCATGCATATGTGTTTTCTTTTCCTCTCATGTGTATAACTAGGAATGAAATTGATGGGTTGCATGGGAGATCTGTGTTTAGCTTTTTGAGGAATTGCCAAGAAGTATTTCCCAAAGCAGCCATACCATTTTACATTCCCACCAGCAGCTGTTCGTGAGTGTTCTAACGTCTCTCCACATTTCCAATATTTGTTGTTATTAGACTTACTGAATCTAGCCACCTTAATGGGAGTCAATTGATACTTCATTGTGGTTTTGATGACTAATGGAAATGTTGAGCATCTTTTATCTGTGTATTGGCCATTTGTGTATCCTCCGAAGAAATACCTTTCCAAGTCTTTTGTCCACTTTTACGCTACATTGTCTTTATTGAGCTATAATCGTTGCTTATAGATTTTGGACACTAGACTTACTTAGATATATAACATACAAACATTTTCTGCCACTTGTGGCTACCTTTTCACTGTGACTTTAATTTATACTTCCTTAATGACTGATAATACTGATTAGTTTTCCAGCTTTCTTTGGCCTTTTGGTGAAATGTTTTTTTACTCATTTATGTCATTCTTTCCTCTTCTTTTTCCTTCTTCCTTCTTTTTGATCTGGGGATGGAACCCAGGGCTTTGCCCATGTTAGAGGCCATTTCTCTATGGCTAAGCTCTGTTATTTCTTCTTAATGGAGCTATGAATATAGATGTATCTCTTCATAGTATGCTAAACGCTTCCAGACTTTTTTCTGTAGCAGTACTATGATGGATTGGAGACATAGCTGGTAATTACATCATCGCAGCGTGACTCAGTTTCCCCATGAATGAAATAGACCACAGGATGTAATAATCTTGGGAGTAACTAAAATCAGCACTTGGTAAATAATAGGTCCTCTAGGCTCAGGCTCTGCTTTTGAGATGTCCTCACTTATAGCACTTGGGCCGAACAGTCAGCAGGAAAAAGCTCCTGTCAGGTTGGCTGAAGACACAGCAGAGTCTTTGTTGGCATCATTTCTTCCTTAATTTTAATTTCCATTGTTGCATACATTTACTTTGTAATCCCTCAAGCTTACCCAGAATGCCCCAGGCATGATATTTTCAGATGGGAAGATAGGAAGAGAACCAAGAAAGAGTGTGGTCCTAAATCGAGGGCCTTCTCTGTCCCCAGGGGGACCCCCCCAGCCACTCTCCACCTGACCCCATGAGATCCTTGTTCTGAGGTATTAAGGTGCTAGGTGCAGAGCTGGAAAGACTGAAAACATGCTTTCTAAGAGTCTCACAGGCTGCTATACAGAAGTTCTGGTTGCTGTTCCCAAAGTCTCCTGCAGTGGCCAGATCCTTAAGCTTTGCCGGTGTCTCATCATCCCCAAGTGGACACAAAGCCTGAGAGCACTGATGGCACAGGAACTGTGCAAGGAGCAAGGGGGAGTTTGCAAGGTCTCCACCCTGAGCTGTGGTTTTAAATAATTCATCATGTTCTCTTTTCTCTCTTGGAAACAGCAAATGTGTCATCAGCTGAGCCTTCCCTGTGGACATCTTGGGTCATGCTAGCTTCTTGGGGAAGGTGGACAAGTATCTGGCTTTCTCCTTTCCCATGCCTCTCTCTTCCCTGCTGACCCTGTGCTGTCATCTTCCCCAGCATGAAGCAGCAGCTTCAGTGCTCCTCCCTTTCAGCATGTGCTGGAGTTTTATAGATCTGCTGGGATATTGCTGGGGAACCGTCACAGTGGGGGAACAAATGTTGCCTGTGAATCTCGGCCCATGCAGATCTTCTGTCTCCGCAGTGTTGCTTTAGTGCTCCCTGGGTGGACCAGCAAGGGTACCATCAAGCTTCCATTTCCCTGGTTCTCATCTTCCTTTTGGTTAAATCAGTTGTGATGCCTGGCAGTAATAAACCCTAGACGCTCTGGCATATACCAAGTACCCTTGAGGCCAGCCTGTTAACTTTGCACAGATCCATGATGATGAGTGTCAGGGACAGAAGGGACCTGAAAGGTTGTCTGTTTCAGTCCCTTAGTACAATATCACAAAAGATTTTTATGGAAAGACAGAGGTCCACCCCACCACTACACCTATACCATGTGACCTGGTGATGTTCCTTTGACTTTGAATATATTGTTCATAATTTCAATGATAAAACTATTGAGAATGTTAATAGAAATTGACATAGGATTTCCAAAGTGTGCTAGCCTTTGTCACAGCTTTGTGTACCACACAAGGACAGTCACCTAGGAGGTTAGTGGAAGTGCATGAATACATGTTTATGTAAGTGAAGGAAAAACATTCTTGCATCAAACCAGAAGGAAATTCTATAGTGCTTTTAAGTTATTTATGTTTACTTGCTCTGAGAAAAGGGCTTTCTTTCCATTTATTTATTCCAAATCTGGAGAGAAAGGTGGGTTTCCCAGTTTTCAGGGAAATGGCTGTAGTGGGGCTGGGACCTGGCTGGTCTCTGTGTCGTCTGACTTCCTGCCTTTCTGCCTCTCTGCTTCTCTCTGCAGACCCCAGTTTGGCCATTTGCCTGCAGCCCTTGGCTTCCTTCCCTTCTGTCCTCTCTGGCCATCTTTCTCTGTCCTATTCCCCAGGCCCCATGAGTTTCTTCTTCTCTTCCAATACTTTCCTGATCATGTCATATAATCATGAGGCTTTGCCAGGCAGCTGATTCCATGGGATAACTGAAGTTAAAGGGTAGTAGTAGGAATTTATTATCTCCATTTATATTGTGTCATAGTTTGGATTTGAAATATTTCTCAATCTGCTAAAGGCTTGGATGCTAACAGACGAGTTTTTTTGGAAGTGATTGGTCATGAGGGTCCAATTGCATCAAGTGACTTGATCAATGAGATCACAGTGTAATGGCATTATTTGGAGATTTTAGAAACAAGAGAGGGGCCCATTTGAATGGGACAGATCATGAGGGTGACTTTGGGGTTATTATCTGGTCTTCCCCTCTGGCTTTGTCTGTCTGTCTGTCTGTCTCTCTCTCTTACTTCTTCTTCTTCTTCTTCTTCTTCTTCTTCTTCTTCTTCTTCTTCTTCTTCACTGTTATGAGATGAGAACTTTGCTCACCACATTTTTTTGTGATGTGTCTGCCCTATTTTAGTCACACAGCCATGGAACCCATCAACCATAGATTAAAATGTCTGAAACCATCAGCTTGCTTCAGCAGTATATATGCTAAAATAAATCTTTCCTCCTTAAAGTTAATTTATGTAAGGTATTCTGTCATAGGAATGAAAAGCTGTGACTAAGGCACATTTAACAACTTTGAGTCTTTAATCCCACAATGTGAGTAGAACAGGTATTTCCAAGAAAGGGTGGGGATAGTGGATTTTTGTCTGGATAACGAAACATACACCACCCAGGTAACACCATCCTTGCCCAAGCCCATGCCTGGGTTCATCCCTCTGGTCTGTTGCTTTCAAGGAAGATTAAATTAGATACTGAGAGGAAGGGGCAGTGGTGAATATAATAGGCAATAATGGTGCAGTCAACATATGTTTTGCATTTGTGTGAAGATGTTACAGCGTGACACTATTCAGTACAATTAACATACACTGATTTAAAAAGCCATATTTATTCCCAGCATGTGTTTTTATCAGTATTGATTGGAAGCTACTAATGAGCAGTAATCTTATCTTTTAAATCCAGTTCTTTTATAAACAATAGGAATTTAACATGTGTCTGTTTATGATGAAATATTACTATGGTTGACGAAGTCAGCAATAAGTCTTGACTAATGTTTGGACACTGCTTGTGAAGTGTTACTGGAGAGGCCTCATAAGGGTTAGATTTTCTGTTATCAAAGAACATTAATTAACTGAAACCCTCTGTGAGGATCATTTCGTTAGCCTCTAGTTCATCCATGTTGCAAACACTTTTTTTCCCGCTCCTGGGTTTTGTGCTTTCCGGAGAGACCTTTCCAAGGAAATTGGTTTGAGATGCTCAGCTTTTCATTATTGCACTCAGCAGCTGTTCTGTGGGGTGGGGGGATCTGCTGTCTTCCTTTGAGAAGGTCTTTGGATTCCCGTATCGGCAGGCACTTAGAGATAGCCAGGGAACAGTTAGAAGTCATGGCTTACTCCATTACAGACACTTGCAGGTGGCGGGTCCTGTCTTTAGCTCTGGACCAGGGAAGACTCAGACAGCATCAGAGCTCTGCTCCTCCCTCTGTGTCTGTGGCTGTACCCTTCAGCTTCTCCAAACATCATCTGCTTCATTTATAGAATCAGGATAACAAGCCCCTTTCTGGCATGATTCTGAGATCTAAATGAGATTTGCATGCAGAGCACGGCGCAGGCCATGCCACAGATAAAAAGAAGTGGTTAGCAGGTAAATGCAGCCCTTGGGCTTGGAAAATACCAAAATGGCCTTTTGGCCCATTTAATTACCATCTCAATCTTGCTCACCAGGGTGATACAGTTGTTACCTGATCTGTTTATCTACACTGATGTCCCGGTCATCTGCGGTCCAGAGTCTGCATCCAGATTCACATTTGGTGTCATCTATTTGATGAGAATAGACAAATATATATGAGATCTTTCCATCATCATGTCATTTTACAGAATAGTTCCACTGCCCAAAGAGTCTTCTAGGTTCTACCAATTCATGCTTATCCCAAGAATTACTGCATTTTCAGCCAAAACTAAGTTATATCATGCATTGGATATGGCATATTTATATATCATTCTCTGGGGCTGTGGATTTTTGCCCTGATGCTTTAACCTTGTGTGGAAGCACTTTCTGTCTTCAAATCCCTGCTCAGCTAGATCTCCATGTCCACCCCTCCCCCCATCCGGACTCCATACACTAGGTATTCTTTGAAGATAGGGAGCCCTTCCTCTCTGTCTTTGCTTCCCAGATCCTAGCATAAAATGTGTGTTCTGCAAATGCTCTGTGAATGAGTGTTTAATCAACAGCTTCTGAAAAACCACTTCTTTTCATTATTGCTGTGCCGTGGCCATCTCCTTGACTGAGGCCACCCTTCCCTCCCTTCAGCTGCTGCCCCTTCCTATTCTCTGCCCACCAGGCTGAGGGGAAATGGCACAGAGGGCTCATCTCCTAAGGTGTACATGGGTTGCTGGTCAGCCAAATGTGAACGTGTGGCTCTGAGCAAAGAGCCAGGCTGTGATCAGGTTGAGATGGTGCTGCTCCAATGCCTGGTTTTGATTCAGGGAGATCCAGGGCTTACAGGCAAGTATGGAAACTTTAGGGGTATAAGGATTCCTGTCTCCTGCCTTAGAGACAGCGTAGCATAGTGCAGAGGGGAGTGCCCGGGAGCTCAAAGTCATGATTATGCTTTTTTGTTGTTGTTGTTGCTGGTACTGTGAATTGAACCCAGGCCTTATGCATGTTAGGCAGGCACCCTACCACTGAGCTACCTCCCTAGTCCTTGACTACGTTCTGATTTCCACCTAGTTCATTCCATCTCATTGAAACCTGGAGAAACTAGATTATCTACCTGCAAACTAGGATTAAGCTAACTTTGTTACCCTTGCTAACATGGTTAAAGGATGCAAAGCATGAAATGCTGTGAGGTTTTTCATAAGACTTGCTAGTTAGCTCTCAGCTGTCAGCAGGACCCCTTCCTGGTGCCTGGTGATGGACACCAGCTGGTCCAGGGCCACTGCTGTAGGCCTTGGTATCTGAACACAGGGCAGCTTGGATGTGCTGAAAACACAAGACGATGATTTGGCATGGATTTGTCCCCCTATTCTCTGAGTAGGAGGCACCCAAAGGCTACTGAAACTCACCGTGTTCTCATGACTCTATGAGCTAGAACCAATGACCAGCAGGTTGAGTCAGAGTTTGGGCTCAGTACAAGGCCTCAAGTGTTCCATCAAGGACAGTGGGAGGCCTGGGGCATGCACGTGACTGGGTAGGAAGTGCAGTTAGTCCTCCTCACTAAGTCCTCTGAGACAGGCAGTGACTATGAAGGCCCTGTGTGGAGGGCATTTATGAGAGCGATAGCCCCTGCTTGCTGCTAGGTCAGGGGCCTGGGAATCCAACCCACGACACTAATCTAAGTCTTGGAAAGTGACTGACATGAAAACTTCACAGAGTGACTATGGCAGAGCTAGTTAGATGTGGACTAGGTTTCTGGCATTGTCACTCTGAGCTTTTGAAATTCCTCAGCCTGAGCCACTTCGGGATCTTGGTGATGGTTCCGTGAGACAGTGTACATAAAAGACGAATCTGTGGTACACGGTAGATGTTCAGAAACATCTATCAATGATGACACTGCTATCCTTGAGATTGCTGTAGTAAACCCCTAAGTGTACAGTTCAGTGGTGCTAAGTATACGCACATTGTTACACCACAGAACTGCAGAACTCCTTCATCGGGTATAAGGGAAACTCCCATTAAATAGCAACTCATTCTCTCTCGCCCAGTATACTCTACCTTCTACTCTTCTTCCTCCCACCACTGGCAACCAAGCTTCTAATTTGAGTCTCCATAAATGACTGTTCTAGGTAATACAATTGGCAGAACCATAGGTATGTTTGTTATGTGAATTAAACTATTTAGCATGACACCCTCAATCATCCATCTTGTAGCATATGACAAAGGCTTTGTTTGATTGAGTTTTATTTGAGGTTGAATCAGGGCCTTGTGTGTGCTTGAAAATACTCTACCGCTGCACTACATGTCTTTAAAAGGCTAAATACTATCCTGTTGAACATGTTTTCTTTAGCCATGATGGACATGGGGGTCATTTCTGCTCATGGCTATTAGCGATAGTGCTGCCCTGGATGTGCTGGCCAATATCTGTTTGAGTCTTTGCTTTCACTTCTCTTGGGTTTATCCTCAGAAATAAAATTGCTGATTCTGTTTTAATTTTTGAGAAACCACCATGCTGTTTCCCACAGCAACTGCATGCTTTACATTCCCACCGACAGAACACATGGGCCTCAAAAGAACAAAAACAAACCAGAGTCTCAGTTCCATGTCATCATCCAATTTTTTCAGTTTCTGTTTTGTTTCTTTAAAATAGTGACCATCCCAATGGATGTGAAGAGGTATCTCATTAGGATTTTGATTTGCATTGTGTAATGATTATTAATGTTGAACAGTTTTTCATGCACATTTTGGACATCTGTCAAATACCTTTTTTGTGAAGCACAGAATGGCATTTTATATACAGGGGCCTTTTCCTACTTGTCTGCCCACCAGAGTGACAGTTCCCTGTGTCTTGTAGGCCCAGAGGCATTCTTAAGCACCCAGTGTGACCAATGAACCACTGGACTAGTTGTGAGATCAGTTTTCTCATTTAAAAATGAAATAATAATAGAATCTACTTGCTAGTTTGTTTGGAGAATTAAAATCCATTAATTCCTGTTACTACATGTATCATAAGTACATAATGGCTTCATTATTGTCACTGTGATTATTGTCTTCTGACTTCTCTCTCTACTACGTCATCCTCCTGTCCATTTCTTATCCATTCCTCTGCCTTGGATTTGGGCTCCAGCATGTGCCCTTAACCCTGGAAGTAGGAGAGAAAAGAAGAGGATTCTGGGACTGTGGTGGGTCTGTATTCATCCTCCCCTCAGTCTCCTAACCACCCCTACCTCGGTTCCATTTCACTGTTAGCCTGGCTTTATTCCCCTACGTCTGGAAGAATGGTTAGTATTTTTTTCTCTAGTACTGGGAATTGAACCAGGGTCTTCTCACAGAGCTACGTTCCCAACCCATTTTTGTTTTTTTGAGAGAGCGTCTCATTAAGTTACTAAGTTTCCCAAGCTGAACTTGAACTTGTGATCCTCCTGCCTTAGTCTCCCAAAGAGCTGAGATTACAGATGTGAGCTGCTACTCTCAACTGGTCATTACTGTTTTAGGAACTGGCAAGAGAGTTTTCTTACTGGACGTTGAGGGATGGGCCTCTGGGGCCCGCTGGAAGTGAGTAAACCTTGGCTCTAGGCATGCATAGGCTTCTCTGGGCCGCTGGGAGAACTGTGAATGACGAGTTCCTGAGTCCTGTGCTGCTTTTCTTATTAACTCTCACAACCACAGAAATCACGATCCAAGGTCACAGAGAAATCCCAGGTTCTCTGATGCTTACTCTGGTTCCTGTTTCACCATATTTTGCCATGGTAAGTCCCTGACTTACAAACATTCAAGCTGTGAACTCTCACAGATACCAATGGACCTCACATTATGAATGTTAGTAGCCACAAAAAATCGTGGAAATAGCTCCTACGTCTGCCTGACTTGGTCACAGCTGTGCTACTATGGGCGCACTGCATGGTGTGATGCTGTGCAGAGTGTGGTGCACAGTCAGCCCAGGATGTCTGCAAGCAGGAGGAAAAGCAGTGATGCCGTGGAGGGGACTTCTGGGAAGCACAAAGCAATGCGCATTGTTTGTTTGCATCGAAGTCCGTCAGACTTAGGAGGGAATCTGACTTCCCAATGTTCTCCCAGATGGAACTTGGTCATAAGTGAACAATTTACTGTATTTGTGGGAAGGCTGGGGTCATGCAAGAGGCTTTGGGCCTAGGAGATCTGAGTCGGGTTTACTTGTGAGCCCAAATCTCATAGAAACTGGGTAGTGGAGACAGTAACATCTTTCAGTGATGCCGGAAACTCAGACTCAAGCCTGGAGGCACGTGGTTGGCTCCTTCACTTTTCCTGACCACAGGGCTGATTCAGACAGGCCAGAGCAGTGGCTTTCCCAAAGAGCACTCCTTCAGCACTCAGGGATGAGGTCAGAATGTCTGGTGTCGCTTGGTCCCCAGGGCTATGCCGCTTGCTCAGCCCTTTCCTCCCCATTGGGCTCTGTCTGGGCACCTCCTTTCTCATTTAACCTGTGACTTCCTGAGGTTTGGGCTGCTGTATTTGCCAATACCAGGACATGGCTAGAGACTGGGGCTTGTACTGTGCTGATAAAGTTGTATTTCCTGCATCTCTAAGGACGGAGCTTATGTGGTCTCCTTTCCCGCAGGATCCATCAGACTGTTTACTGACAGTGGAGTCCCCAGAAGTAAAACAACCCATGGGCTTTGTTTTTTTATGACATCTACTGGCCCCTAGCAAAATGCCTATCACATAGGGCGATTCAAAGGCAGCTGCATTGTTGTTCTTACTGTTGCTTTTATTCCTCACAATGCCAAAAGAAAGATGACACTGTCCCCATTTTGCAAATAAGAAACCAAGTTTAGAGGAGAAGCCTGGCTGGTCATGGGGTGTAATGATGGGATTAGAACTCAATTTGTGCAGATTTGAAGTCAGGATCATCATGACATCCCTCATTCTGCCCCTAATGAGAAACAAAGCCAAGCTGGTTTCTGAGATTCCTCCTTTTAAAAACCTGCATTGTGATCCCACGTCTCTGAATCAGCTAAAGGACTTCCTTTTCACCCACGCTTGGGAAAGTAGACAAGAACTACAAAGGTGACAGGGGTTCAACTAAGAGTGGATTGTGGCTGAGGGTGAGGACTTTGGCCCATCAGGAGAGCCAGGATGCCAGGCTGGAAGGAAAGGCAGAAGCTCTGTGTCTGTGCACAGT